TATATATTATTTCACTTCAATAAATTTAATTTTTCTACTCTTAGATAGAAAGGCATGATAGCATACAATAAAGCCAAAAAAAACGTCTCACTTTATACATTTGTCCAGTTGTTGTTTCGATAGACGTCGTTTTTAACTTATTTTTAATTCCATTCAACATCGAAATACTTCACATTTATTTATTTATACCTTTTAAGGTCTATGGTAACTCAAACGTGAAATTTTATAAATTATCAAAATGACTTAAGGTCCCCGATAGTAAAGAGTCTTTATGTGAAATAACGTGTTATTATATCTTTTCGCATTTTGCTTTTGGTTCCAAAATAACGATCCAAAGCAATTCATGCAAATGCTTTTAGAAGCTTTTACATCTTCACAAAAGCATTAATGGTACTTATACCCACTCGTAAGAACCCTTCAAGTATGTTATACGTATATACTTACATAAATATAAGTGAATTTTGTTTTACAATTTTTATGTTTTCATTATAAATAACATGTGGTACTATTATCAACTGTCATCTGTTTTATCACCTGTCAAATATCATTAATATAATTATAAAAGAAAAAGAATTATTAAAGCAAAAGTTTAAAATGTAGCCGTTAGTAATTATTTCAAAATAAAATATAATACCTTTTTTTTTCGTCACATTTTAAAATAGTGTCTTATAAAGTCAAATATATCACGATAGTGTCGTGTTTAACATTACCTTATGAAGATTCAAAATATACGTCTTTATTAAGTACAGAATATGATTTTTATATCAGCCCCTCAAACATTTAAGGATATTGATTGTTTGGCTCTAACAGTATTTAGGCATCAAATCCTGTACCTGCACCGTATGACCATATTTAATAAGTTTATTATTGAAAGTAGTATAAGCCCTAAACGTTGTAGAAATATATAGTACGTTTTACGTGTCTTGAATTATAGTAACATTTTAGCAATACCTAGAAACAAGATTGCAAAATTGTAATAAATCTCTCCATGTGAAAAAACTAAATGAAGTATCTTTATCATGACTGAAAAAAAACATGGACATTACTCCAAAACTCATGTCACGTACAATCAAAATTTTTCTTCGTGTCAATCACTTCATTTCTAATCACAATCATTTGACGATATTTCACTCAATATAATGCAGTACAACAATCAGTCAGTCAGTGGTGGCTCAGTGGTTAAAGGGCTCGCCTCTCGGCCTCTCGTCGCCGAGGGCGCGGGTTCGATCCTGGCCCGGGCAAGTACCAATGTGATTTTTCCGAATCATATGTACTTTCTAAGAATATTTAGACATCACTGATTAATGTTGATTCCCAAAAAGAGGGTTGATGTCAGGCAGGCGGCCAGTCGTAAAAACAAATAGCCAAAAACTATTCACAACAAGTAAGGCAGACCCTGGCTATAGCTGGGAAATTGCCAGGTAGAAGAAGAAGATAATGCAGTACAACAATACTCTATTTCGGTACAACCAGTCATCAGTTGATCACAACTATTGAAGCTAAAGTAAGTTACTAATGATTTAGCGTCTTAAATATCTAGCTGACAACCAACTCACTCGACGGTAGATGGGTTATCAGGTGACAGGCGGAATAACATTACTTTCTAAATATATATAAGAATAGATTAACTGCGGTTTTCGATTTATGTAACAGAAAGGAATTCGATTCAGGTTTGGTTAAAAACGATGAACAATGCTATATTTTCTTTATTTATTTCTGGTCAACTTTAAATAAATAATATAATCTTTATATTGAAGTTAAAATCTACATTATTTTCAGCTTGAATAGAGCATGAATATCTAAAACAGAAGCTTAAAGAACAAATGTAACAATTTGAAATATCTTCTTTAATTTACTGCTCGCTAAATATCAAGATATAGTGAGTTCGTTTTTGTATCTTTTATGTATGAATTTATTGCCCTCGCGTAGAAGTTTGTTCCGTTAATCGCTCTAAGTGATGTATGGATCTGTATTAGAACCTTAAAAACAGAACAAGAAAAATAAGAGACAATGATACTAATATGTTTTATAAGAAGTATTTTCCCAGACATAGGATTAGCTATTTGGCAGATTTCTTATTTGTTTATGGTTTTGTTTTGTAGCTTCCGCTTTATTAACGTAGATATAAAGGATATAAAGTATGTAGGACGCCACCGTGCCGTATCATAAGATATGATAGTTTAATCTTATCTTAACTTTATTATGTAATTTTTTCTAAAAAAATATAAGCTCTAATTCAACTTTATAAACATTAAATTGGTCCAATCATTACGATAACTACATATCTTATAGAAAATAAAAGATAAATAATATATTTTGTTTTCAGAATTCATGGTTTTACCCAACAAACAGCTTGTGTTCTTTACCTATACATTTCGTAAATTTTGTTTAACTACCACTTGTGTATATTCAATACTTATTATAAAGAGTTTAATTTTATACAAAATAAATTGTTTTTATACTAAATTGCCTTCTATTCAATAAGGTACATTTATATATATAATAGCTTGTCTTCACGTATATTTTTCTTAATGCCGATATGTAACACTCACTCTTCCTAATTTAAGCAGATTTTTAATGAATGAAACTATATAAGTCAAATTATCAACTTCATAATATAAATATAATATATTAGATTATATAGTACCATGTGCTCTCTCTCACTCTACTGATTTTGGTAGAAGGAATTGAAAAGTTAGTTCTTTAGAACAACTATAAAATGTTGTCCGTCCATTTATTTATCAACAAATCGTTTGTCTGTTAGGTCTTTTAGTATCAAGCGGAACATTCGTAACTGTACAGCAATTTATGGCTTGGAGGTGTTAAGAAATAAAGATACAAGTGTTATATTTTTCTCTTCAAGTTGTGTAATTTAATATAATTAGGTGTAAAATTTGATGTGCCTTTTTTATTTTATTGTCTTATAACTGATACCATGGCTAAGGCATGATATTGTCCTAAGTATTTCAATTTAATGACTAGACTTTGGAGGTTCTTGATGAACACAGAAGAACATATGTACATACATTTAACAAATGTATTATCCAAAGTATGCTTTAAATCCGTTTGCGTTACGACAATAGATATCAAAAGTGTGGTCGATAAAATTAATAAAAAGATATAAAACGAACCAACGTATTCAATTCCATAATAATGAGTGGTGATTAATTAATTCACGAAGGATGTCTTTGAAAGAATAGTTAAAGATCGCTGCTGTGATCTAAATTGGTCGCAATTTCATAATTGGGTTAATACAGTTCAGTAAAGCTTTTTTCGGCAGAAAGCCAAGTCTGTATCGATAAGGCTCCAGAGAGGCAGTTAGGATGTCTGTCTTTCTATAATAAATTGCTACTACGGCTACATAATTCAATAAGTTATTGTTTTCTACTCACTTCTATGTATGAAACAATATTTTTTTTAGGCGAGTCTAGGCTTTAAATTCATTAGAAGATAATTGAAATAAATAATCACGAGTTTTTAACGTAGCAAAGAATATTTAAGATTTGATTTCATTTTCATTGCCGAGATTTTACTATTCTAAATGGGTTGACTGTAAATAATGGTTATATATTTATAAGTTATGAACAGTTCTACTAGAAGATAATAGTTTCTTAAATGTGTATAAAAAAATCGTTGTAATATTTTCAAATAACTGTACACGCTAAGGTCAAGATTTTCAAAATTTTCCTTAATTTTTCATGTTGGATTAAATATCGAATATTTTTATTTCTTTGCTTGAGATAATTCTATTACTTTTATTCTATATTCATTGTTCTTTTTAGATTGAAAGACATAATTGGAAATATGGTATTGATACCTTTTTCATACAAAGTTATGTCTTATTCTTAAAAATGAGGGGAAATTCGATGCTTTTTATTTAGTACTTATTGTCGCGTCTAACAGAATACATACATACATATTTTTTTCTAAATTCCCTTTAATTTGTCCACAATACAGAGAACATCGTTACTAAATAGTGAAATTTATCAAATCCTTAAAACTTCGAACATCTGGTTTACCGTATAATATTTTCTCAGGTTTAATCCCTGTCTCAATGCTTAAATAAATACTTTGAAATGTTAGGGATTTCCAAAGAATTAAAAAAAAAAAGAGAAATTCTTTCTTTACTGCTCCTAAATAATTTAAGGTTTAATTAAAATACTTGTAGATCACTACTAAATATACAATAGCATCATTTTTTCAATATATATAAGACAAAAAAACTAAATTTTTTAAAAGAGTATACATTACAAGAATTTTAAAATTATAATCATTAATACATCTTAAGTGTAATTAATGTTGGGAGTACTTGTGTTTACTTAATCATATTTTATAATTAAATGAGAAATTCAATAAAACAACTAGTTTCTTCAAAACATTATATAATTTTTAATCTGACAATCTTTACAATCTTGCTTGACTAACAGACGTTAGTAATCTAATAAATAAAATCCATTAAAATATACCGACAATAAAATAATTTAATATTCGTTTATTTAAATAATGATCCAATTTTATTTTAAATATAATAATAAAACAACCAAAATTATAAAACATATATATAAGGGTTTGGTCTTTAGGAGTAAATAGAGATTTATAAAATTACCTTAATCATTAGAAATTTTGATCGTTCCATTTATTATTTGAAATTGAAACGCTTAAGGCACGGCGAATTTACTTCTAACTATACAATATAGAATACACCTATATTAAACATTTGGTAACCATCTTAATATATCGCAAATTGTGATATGTACAAAAATATTTTCCTCTTCTAAACCTATTTTAGAATAGCAAAAGAAAAAACACGCATTCATTGTAACTAAATGCTTCCGAAATGGTAGTAGAGATACAGCACCATAGATTAAGAAGTCCATTTACACCATAGATATGAAATGAAAAGGGCCTTAAAAATAAAACATTCAACCACAATTGTACTCGAAATATTAGCACAATTTCACTAACGTCTTTCGGTTCACTTAGAACCGATACTCTTCACATCAAGCACGCGAATTCTGTCTTCTTTGTCTTTCCAATTGTTTTCTATGGTTGTGTCGTTTTCTTGCAATTATCGCGACTAAAATAACGACGATAGCTAACGCTACTGCGACGCCGATCCACCAATAGATATTGTATGAGGCTTCTTTTATATTAGTAGACTCCGTCTGGTCCCCTGCAGCCAAAGGGTTTTTGATTTCTAACACTCCAACTGTTGACGTTTCTAATTTATAGTTATGATCATCCTCTGTATCTATTATGTTCTCGTTGATATTATCGTGTGTTTTAATAGCATTATCCTGTTCTTCTTCATTATGCTCTGATTTAGGAAGCGGAGTCTCTTCGGGTATTTCATTTTCTTGTGGTGGAACCTCAATTGGTGGTTCAACGTATTCTTCAATGGTATTTTCACTTGTTGGATCTAATTGGTTATCCAAATATTCGTCTAAAAGCCTGAAGTAATCAGTGAGCCCGGTATACTCTAAACCATTTTCTCGTTTTGCTAGCAAATCACTAACCATTTCAGGCCAAGGAGTACCATAGCCTTGCATCATAGCATCACTAAAAGTTAAATTTTAATTTACAATAGCAGTTTAATAACTTTATTCTCTAATATTATTTTTCATATAGAGATTGACTTACATTAATCGTTGATTGTTTTCAGATACGTGCTGAACTAAATCGGAGTCATCAGATCTCAGTTCCTCAGCAAAAGACTGATAGACTTGGTACTTTAGAATCAATCCCAAGAAATTGCTACAACAAAGATGCACATAATTATAAACAGTGCTGTATAAACTATACTTATTTTATATATGTATTCTTTCTCTGTTTGCTCACCCAATGTAAGGCTTGTTTGACAAAATGTGTGCGCTTCCAAGAATATCCGAGTTTGATGATTCGATAAGGGAAAAGTTTTTTCTGAATTCACTCCAACTCTCGTTTATTTTATGGTAAGGAATTTTACCCATCAAAACATCTAATCGCCATTCGTCTGCGGCTATGTAGTAGTTTAACCTATATATTATAAGATTTACACATTAAATGAAACCACAATAAAGTTACATTATATGAGTCAAAGAGTAATTAATTAATCAGTTTATGAAATATCAAATTTCAACATTTGGCAACCGTTATATAAATACTATAAATTACTCACTTCGGTAAATCTCTCAATGCTATAATGAGCTGCAGAACGAGTCTATTGTGGTTTTGGTTGTAATTAAACCTATTAAGCGGATACAAACCCGCACGCTCTAATGTATGGGGATTCAGTGACAATAATGATACAAATCCCGGCACTGCTTCATATATAGCTGCAATAATAAAAACATCATATAAACAGTCGTAAAACTTGCTACATTTTGATCTTATTCTGTTTCAGCTTACCCGAGTAACGTGGTGCTTCTCTTAACACGTATGTGTTATTGCTGTGTAAGCCGGTCGTGATTTTGTATTTTATTTTCATAGCTGTTTCATGTGCGTCCATATAGTTCTGAATACTGACGTCCTTGCAAGTTACGAATCTCATTCGGTTTGGTTCGCACCAATCTACTATTATAGGAGGGCAAGTTCCATTGAAAGCGGATTCTTCTAATATTTCAGATGGTATTTCACCCAAATTTAATTGCTTGAGCAGTTTATTTGCTTCTTTGAATGCATTTAAGCCACTAACATCCTACAAATATAAAAAATAAAAATTTAAATACCAGTAAACCATAAATATAAGTAAGATATTATTTTATTATTAAATTAATTATTTTTTACCTTTAATTGTAAATTAGCGTGAAGTTTTTGATAAATGTCTGGATGAACCGGTAGCAAATTCTCTATCAAATTAGACCAGTCGTCCCCATTAAGTGATCCTATTTTATAAAATGGAGAGTTAAAATATTTAACATCGTTTAGTTAAAACTACGTTTAAAAATCTATTTCCTGCATATTTGGTTTATGAAATAAAACTATTCCATCTTACCGCGAACACGTTTACTGCACAGTAATTGAAATGTTGATTAAAAAATCAAAATGTAAACCAAATATGCTGGAGCTAAATCTGAAGTACATTTTTATTTCAATGTTAACTACAAATAGGATATGAGAGATATACTAATTTTGAATGTATATTTTTTTATGTAAGCTCAGCCAATTCGTTTAATGATTAATTAAAAACACTTGATTAAATTTGTATGAATCTAAGTGTATATTTACCTCAATTTGATAATTATGGGTTTTTAAAGTTATACATCTATATATAAACGTTTAACATAATATTCTTACAAGAAGATTAAGTCTAAGAATTTGGAATTATGTATATAAGCTTCATACATAATATTGTTATCGATACTGCAAATGACGCATTGTACACTATCTGGGTTGACACATGAGTCAAAACTTAATCGTAACCTTTGTTGTAACAGGAAGGGTCTAACAAAAGTTTAGGGATAAATTAACTTACTAAGCAAATGTATCGGCAAGGGCTTTCCAACTTCGTCCACGCCTTTCAGCTTGAGTGATACGTATTTATGTAATTTGAGGTACAAAGGTCTGACGTGATCCCAAATCTCACGGGCCGTTAACATTGCCCCTTCGTATTCGGCTAACGAATCCCAATATTCTTCCACAGAGTCGTAAACTGTTGACACGTACATAAATATACTTTGTTTACTACAGATAAAACTACATATTAAGTAGAAAACATGTTATTGATATGTTTTTTTTAATCATTTTTATAATTAATTATTTAAAAGTAATAAAATATTTTAATACAAGGAATGTAAAATTAAAAAACATCAATAATAAACCTACGATTTTCTTTTGAAGCATTCCTCAGTAAAGGCAGAATTTTATTAAGATATTCCGTAAAATCTGGCAGGTGACTATCCCATGACGCTTTCATCAGACGCAACTTTTCCTCGTCTTGTTCTCTTGCTATGGCGTTATGCAATTCTGGAGAACATGGTTAAATATTAAATGATGGTGATATAAATCTCAATTGCTATTCCGTATAAACGAGTTACAAATAAACCATCTAAAATGCGTTCAACAGTTGTTAATGTTTTCAGAAGCGTAGCAAACTTTGACAATTATCAGAAACTCATAACCCTCGGCCTAAGTAGGTGAAGTAATAAATAAATTCAACTCGTAAAAGATTGGAATGCATTAAATACTAAGAACGTAATATAGAATGTGGAAATTAATTGAGATTGCTGTGCCAGTTCGCATAACAAAACTGATGTATATACATATTTATATGGTTATTCTATCGCAATAATTTGCCGTTAAATATTTAGCCATCTGTCAGGTGGTCAATTAGGAGACAGTAACGATGATATGAGATATAGATAATAAATACAAGTACTACGAACTAAGAACTAGTAGAAACTCAGAGCTTTAGTTTCAATACTAGGATTAGTGCTAAAGGAAAATGTACCTCTTAACGTGCAATTAACAGTGACTCCGCAGTTGTAATCCCCAGCAAATCGCAATCGGTTAAGCGCAGTATCAGCAAATGTTACCAACTGTAATAAATATTTCACTTTGACATGTATTTACGAAGCGAATAACGATCTATAATTTTGTAATGAAGTGTATTTAATGTGGGATTAACTAAGAGTAGCTTATAAAGTAAATAATTTGTACCCATGAAACTAAATTTATAAAGATTAGTAATTATATTCTTAAATAAATCAAATCAATCCTATTTATGGAGTTTTTTTTTTGTTTACTTAAATTTTGAATTTCAGGCTTAGAACTATAGAGAACTTGGTAGTAGGAATTGAGATAAAAAATACCCGTATCCATTGTTCTGTTTCAAGTAATGTATCTCCTGGCTGGAGTAACAATTTCACACGACGTCTTAAAACATCGTCATCGGCAGCGAGAGCCTGACTTGTGAATGCTGACTTCACATCCATTTTCTGCTTGCTGGAGAAGATTCCAAATGCCTTGTCTTGCTCCAGCAGTACCTTTTAATAACATATCATGTTTGATTTGAATGATTTTCGTACTATTCTATGTGACACCAAATCAAAATTACTCTTTCACTGTGAAGTAAAAAAGTATTTAAGATCATCTTTGTCTATAATATAAAATATTTTGCTAGAATTTTGGTACAATGTAACGCACTCAAATCCTCTCGCCAATTGGCAGCTTTCTATGCTACCGAATTCTGAATTTGGTTTATGAGCTTGTGTTGCAATTACCACATTAACTTAGATTTATAAAAAAATAATAATTCTGTCCAAAATACACGATTTGACTGCAGATGTTTTATTGAGCGAACATTATTGGTGCAACGGATTGATAAATAGTGTAGCATGTGCTACCGTTAACGCTGAAAGCCAGAGCTTTTAAGAGAAGCAGGTTAAATTTGTATTTTGTATAGTCTCCCTATAGAATATTTGACAAGAGTGGACATTTCCTTTTTAGATATTTTAATCTTAAAAGTGTTCCTTCACCGAAGGTACATGAGGTTTATTAAGAAACATTTACAGCGATCAAAAACCTTTTTAAAAATCTCAGGGTGTAGGCGAAAACAAGCCTAAATAATAATTTTAGCTAGTACAAAACCTTATACTATATAACTTTTACAACGAATTTTAAAATAAATAAATTTAAGGTTTAGCATTATTAATTTTAGGACATTGGAATTGATTAAGTTATTTATTTAAAACAAACAGTAGACGACAATATAATAAACATTCAGTTATAAAATTCTTCATAAGAATTTGTTCATCTACTTTCAATTGAAGTTAATATTAAAATGTAACATACCTTTAAGGATAAGATTTTCTCCTTGCCTAAAAGCTCTTCCCAGGTCGCTTCAGCTCGTTGGTTACATTGATCTTGATAGTCGAGCTCCACCAGATCTATGAGGGAAACAAGCCATCTTCTGTCATCATCACTAGACGTACCACTTGAGAGCACCGCGTAGAAGCAAAGAAGAAGAGGAAAGATCCGCCACATTTTACTGAAAAAGAGGTGGATATTAGTAAATTTGACCATTGTCTTCTACTCATAGAAGAAAGAGAAATGAAATAAATAACATTATTTTTATGTTCTCTTATTTCTGACGTTGTGAAAAAAAAGACGAAAATTAATTTTAATAGGACCATGTAAACCTATATTCCTGTAAGATTTTAACAGGAAGATATTTTTTATATATCTTGTAATAAAATGGATAAATAAGACAATCCAAAAAATGATCTGTAATATGTTATAAAGTTAATTCCGAAACAATATAAAAAATAGTATATTTTCTCTCGTCTGCTAACAAGTTGTTTAAAGTAAAACTATTCGTTATAGATAGAGTAACAACGTCATTAAAACGAAATGTCCTTTTGAAATGCTCTTGCAAAGTAAAGCAAATGGTATTGAATATTATTTTGCAAAGTTTATTATGTGATTTATAACATAATTTTATTTATTTATTAATGGTTCTCAAAAAATAGAAAGAAAACTGTATTAATATGTTGTTTTTTTTTTATTGTTTTACTTGAAAAATATATTAAATAAATTTCAGTCATATCTCTACTATTTATTACTTAACTTTTAATATTTTTATAAATAAAATTAATTATGGTGGAAAAATATAGTAATGATCAAACATGACTAAGACATTCATACTTGATATGAAGTTATGTTTAACCTTTTATAATTTCTTTTATGTATAATGTACAGATTTCTTTTATAACTACTTCTCATCAACGACGTCTCGTTTGCTCCTTTCACGCATAAAAAAAATTATTAATTAATATCTTTACTATACTATAACAAATGTGACAAGTTTTTCGAAAATGGTTACCAAAATTACTTTATCTTTCACAATCATATTATTTCACTTATACCTTATATTCAAAAATATTCACTTAGAAAAGTACAATCAATTAATCTCTCCGATCATCACCTAGTAAATTTATCCTGTATAAAATACGTAATGGTTTATCAATCTAAATTAATTACAAATTCTGCGAAGTGTAAACAACGCTAATTATAAACTTTTAACACTTAGTGTTTAAACAAATAAATTGAGTTCGTAATTATTTATTGTATGTATAAATGATGAAACAATATATTTAGGGCTGATATTGATAATAAAGATTTTAAAAACTTCAAAAAATTGTGATAAGTTTAAGAGTCGTAATATTGCTTGTAATTATTTTTCAAGTGACTCTTAGGTAACGTCTTATCAGTTTTAAAATTCCGTTTATAATTTCGAAAACTAGTATGGTAATCTTAAATGTGTTGCTATTGAATATCAATGAAGCTGTTTTGGAATAGTGCCTTAAAGTGTATTACCTACAGAAATGCTTATAAGAAAATATACTATTTAGGTGGTAGAGCCTAGCTGTAGTCAGTTACTACAGCTCGAACATGGGCTGGCTCGACCGGGGAAGTTCCACCCTCTCACAGAAGATCGGCGTGAAGTAGCCTTTAATGGCTGCGTTTCGTCCGATGAGTGAGAGAGCCGGTTGCCCTATCCCTATTCCTACCCTTTCCTACCATTTCCTTATTCCCACCTCTCCCTATCCCTGCAAAACAAAGTTGGCAACGCATCCGCAACAAACATGTTGCGGATGTCCATGGGCGACGGTAACCACCTTCCATCAAGTGGGCCGTCTGCTCGTTTGCCAGCTTTCACATAAAAAAAATACTTCTTAGGGCTAAGATATATTGTTGTAGAAATAATATTATTCAAATTTGTACATATATGTTCAAAACATAATATAAACTATAGGTATATAAGTTTTATATGCATTTCTTTTGATGGTTCAAACATTTCATTGATATTACTTTTAAATTCACCAGAACTTTAAGAACAATACTTAGAGCTAGTTTTAAGAACAAATTTCAATAAGCGAGATTAAAAAGTATATTGTGGAAACAGTTTGAAATAAACATAGGTAAATATGAAATTACTTTGAGAAAGTACTTAAGTTATTTTTATTTAATAAATTCATTATGACAAGAGTACTCTTACATTTATTTTTCAAGCTATGAATCTATATCTTAGCAAAATTATAAGCTTTTCCTGTAAAACTTTCACGTGGGATGTGAAGTAATAAAATTCTTATTGTTCTCAAAAATGCTTAAAGTTTTCGTAGGAAACATTTACAATATCACTATTCTGAAAATCGAAATGTTAAGGTTAGGTTAAAGTAGTAATAATAAAACAATAACAAGCATGAAGCTTCGCTTGTTTCATTTTTTTTATTTTCTTATTATGTATTCATTTAAATTAGCAATTCGTAAATGTGCCTTTATACTTTGGTACAACTCAATATAAAAGTATAGATCCAGTCCTTTAAATATACAAGAAATAAATATCATAATAACTAAAATTCGAGATATTATTTTGGATATGAAAAGCTGCACCTGGTTTATTAATAAATTACCTAGAATCGATTGTTAAGAAATTAAATAAACTTTAAATAAATTAAGAAAACAAACAAAAAAATTAATTATAAAACTTTCGCAGGTTGTGAAACTGCATACAAAATAGCATTTAAATGTAACAAAGAGTTCGGTCGTTGGATATTCTTTCATAATAATGTTCTCTACATCCTATTACCATTTCATAACAATGAAGATCTCTTAAAATTACTTGTTAAAGTTGAAGATTAATAACTGTAACTGTAATGTACAAAAATTAAAACATAGATTAGTCACTTAAATAAACGCGTTACCATATAAGGTAGCTGATAAAGTTTTTGTTCGAAAAGGCAATATAAATACATTTATCGAGAATAAGAAATTATTAATTAGAAATATTCTCTATTATAATTATTTCACTGTAATACATTGAGTTAGATGATTTAAAATGAAATAAAAATGTATAATTATTACGAATGATAAATTACAATCCAGGACTTACATATTTTCTTTTTTTCATAGATTTATATATATTAAACATTATAGAATTCCTGGAAACCGAACAAAGATAGACATTTTTTCAGTAGTGTTACTTCGCATCTAATGTATTATATAAATCCTAAAATTGTTTTGTACAGACTTACACAGAGTTTATCGTACATCAATCAGTAAGTACCTACCAAGTTTAATTTCAATTAATAAATAATTATATATTTCACAAGCTTACGTCGTGTAGATCGTAGATTAAGTTAACATTATAATATTTATATAAATAAAATTTATTAAGAGTAGGTTTTACTTTTAAGTCACCCTTCCGTATGTATCTTACGTTATTAGTAGCAAAATATCATTTTGTTAATGTAAGCGAAATAAAAATATTGAAATAAGTAAAAAATTTAAAGAGGCAGTAAAGCATAATAATGTTTAGGATTTTCTATAAAAGAAATAAACTTGCGTGTAGGTTTGTCAAGGGATAACAAACGCATCACTCGCACGACATAGGATTAGTAGCTCCTGCGACCCGCACTTAAGTTGGGACCCGACCATCTGTTACTTCACATTCAAGATCACTGTTCTTACACACCGTAGTATTAATAAGGGATGGTTGTAGGTTACGATTTAAGTTAGCGGTGTTGTAAGTTATTTATGCTCCTGTCACAGTTGGACAACAGGTGCTATAAAATTCATTCAATCCATTACTATTATTATTAAAATAACAAGTTTCTTTGATGAATGATTTTCTATATTTCTGAGGTACATTTTTATAAGCTATGATGGGAAGGTGTTTTATTTATTTTGATTTGAAACTCTTCAACTTGTTATAACAACTTTTAAAGAATTTTTATTTTTAGCACGTCAACTTTATAATATTGTTCCGCCATATTATTTTAGAGGTTAAAACATGAAGCGGGAAATCAGCGAGGCGAAGCAAATGAAGAAATTACTTCAGAAATAGGTTTTTGTAAAAGAAGCTTTGCTCTTTAAATTTTTAAGGTCAATAATTCGAAAAAATTAAAAATGAAATAGGAATTTTAAACTTCTGTATGTGTTGGTTTTTTATATTTTTTAGATAACCGGTGAATTAATGGATAAATTATGCTTTTTATTATAAAGTAAACCAAAGATATTCATATAACTAAAGTCTTTGATCTTTAAAGTCTCTCTGATGTTAAATCATTTCTGTGATTGGTTTTGTACTAAAAACTTGATTGGTCTGCTTCTTCTATATCATAGAAACTCAAGTACCGAAGTCCCTAAGATTGAAACCATTAAAACCACATCAGATAACTAATGATTTTACTGTTATGGTATATCGCTCAAATATTACTTATTTCAAAAATATTTGAAAGTGAAAAAAGAGTATTTTGATTGAAAAACAGTATTAAGCGAAAAATAACAGTATCATAAAACGGAATGTATTCAGAACAGTTGACATGTGGCAATATTTGTAACCATCAAACGAGATCGATTGTAGCTGGAATACGAGATGCAGTTAACAGTGTATAACTCTGTTTTCCTATTATTGCCTAACCGTCAAGATAAATAAGAAATAAACATTCGGTCAGCTTAAGAGTAAGGTTTAAGAGTAAGTACATATTTAAGAATCTAAATAATTGTTGAATAACGTCAAAAATAGTGTTTATGACATGAAAAAAAAATCTAATCATTTCATATTGTTCAATAAAAAGTGGAAGTATTAAATAATATATACTTCCGTAAATGTATAACTGATTTTAAAAGAATTCTGTAAATATTAATGAAAGCGTAATGTTAAAAGAAAAAAAAATGATATGTAAAAATTCTTTTAGATAATAATTGGATATTACATTTAATAAACCTATTTTGGCATTTCTTTTCAAAGTTTTGTTCAGAAAAACATAAAAAAAATTCATTTATAAACTATTTGCTGAATACAATTCTCGAGCACCGCTTCTCAGGAAGATCGTTAGATGTTAAGACATATATTTGTAGAATCTTTTAAGAATTCTTTTCTAAGAACTCAGATCTGAATGTAAATTCTATCGTGACATACAATAATATCCCGTAAAATCTTTCCTTGCACAATATTCCTTTATTCCGTATAAGAGTATATA